GGTGGCTTTGCTGAGCTGCAGTGGGCTCTGCCCAGCTCGAACTCCTTCGCAGCTTTGTTTATACTGTGAGGGGAAAACCGCCTACTCAAGCCTCAGTAATGGCAGATGCCCCTCCCCACCACCTAGCTGGTGCATCCCAGGTTGACTTCAGACTGCAGTGCTTGCAGTTAGAGTTTCAAGCCAGTGGATCTTACCTGCTGGGCTCCATAGGTATGGGATCCACTGAGCTAGACTGCTTGGCTTCCTGGCTTCAGCCCTGTTTTCAGGTGAGTGAACAGTTCTATTTTGCTGGCATTCCAGGTGCCACTGGGGTATGAAAAAAAAACTCCTGAAGCTAGCTCAGTGTCTGCCCCAATGGCTGCTCAGTATTGTGCTTGTAACCCAGGGCCCTGTGCATGTAACCCAGGACCAGTATTTGGCATGGTCCTTGAAACAAAATATACCAGATGCACAGTGTTAGATTTTTTTTTTCCTCCTTGTAGCAGCATGGTTTTCTGTTGGCTGTATACATTTATATATGTCTAATTCTTCCTTATAGAAGAGAGTGAGTTTTGTGAAAGTATACCATTTTTTAATGATGGGAGCAGTTGTATATATTAGATGTTACAGAACTACCTCAAGGGACTATGTTTGTAAATAAGAAATTGCTTAGCCCTTTTCTGTGTTCTTGTTTTGTATGGAAAGTTGCCCACTCATTATTGAATGTCAGTCAATGTTATTGTCAGAACCTATGTAGTTACTCTCTGGCTACATTAGACATTTTAACAGCAGTACAACTTTTTTAGGTACTATGTTGTATACTTAGCATATTTTACCTTAATGGCTTGAAAAGAGTAGTGCTTCTTCTGAGAGTTCTGATTTGTTTCCAGGGACTAATTATATTCTGGAAGAAAATGACTAATGAATACATGTGATTTTTCCAAAATATCAAGGAACTCCCTCAAGGAAGTGGCATTATCTCAATAATCTCATTTAAAATTAAGGATAGTCCATCTTAAGAAAATTGTAAGATTTTATAGCATGCCATGATATTTCAAGTGCTGTAGTTATTTGGGAAGACAACTTTTATGTCTTTTGGTTAAAAAATTATTGAATACTTATTACATGTCAAATATGCTTGCTTCTTTATATAAATTATATGATCGTTCCAATATCCCTATGAGATAGATGATATCATTCCTACTTTTACAAATGATATAATTAAGGGTGGTTAGGTAATATGCTTAAATTCTAATTGTTTATCAGATGTGGAATTGTCACTCAAGCCCATTCTGTTGACACTAAAACCAGTATTATTTATTGAGTAGCATTTTGTATTTCTGAACATAGAAAACCAGAATTATGTGTTCTTTTGTTGGTAGCAGTAGTAGCATTTCACTGTTATTTTCCATGTCACTTACTTTTGTTTGTATGAACAGTCTGTATGATGTGTAATGTTTAAATTTATATGTTTTTTTTAATTTATAAAAAAAGCATTTCACATTTTTTTCATTAAATTTTAAAAATATATTTAGTATACACAAGGGCAGATTTCTACATATATACACTGAGTAGGGGTGAAGTCTGGGCTTTTAGTCTACCCATCATGTGGACATTGTACCTAATAGGTAATTGTTCAACCCTCACTCCCCTCCTATGATTTGTAGGCTTCAGTATCTATTAATACACCACCCTGTGCATGTATACTCATTGTTTAACTCCCACTTATAAGTGAGAACATGTGCTATTTTATTTTCTGTTTCTGTGTTACTTTACTTAGGATAAAAACCTCTAGTTCCATCTATGTTTCTTTAAAAGACATGATTTTATTCTTTTTTTTTTTATAGCTAAGTAGTATTCCATGGTGTGTGTGTGTGTGTGTGTGTGTGTGTGTGTGTGTATGTATACATATCTAAGACTCCACTGATGGACACTTAGTTTATTCCATATCTTTGCTATTGAGAATAATGCTACAATAAACATATGAGTGCAGGTTAATTTTTGATATAATTATTTATTTTCCTTTGGGTAGATAACCAGTAGTGGGATGCTGGATCAAATGATAGTTCCTTTTTTTAGTTCTCTGAGAAATCTCCGTACTGTTTTCCATAAAGGTTGTACTCATTTACATTCCACCAACAGTGTGTAAGCATTCCCTTTTCTCTGCATTGTCTCCAACATCTGTTGTTTTTAGACTTTTTAATAATAGTCCTTCTGACTGATGTAAAATGGTATTTTTTTGTGGTCTTAATTTGCATTTTTCTGATGATTAGTGATATTGAGCATTTTTTCATATGTTTGTTGGCTGCTTGTAATCTTTTGAAAAATATCTATTCATGTACTTTGCCCCCTTTTTAATAGGGTTATTTGTTTTTTTCTTGTTGAGCTGTTTCAGTTTCTTGTAGATTCTGGTTCTTAGCCCTTTGTTGAATGCATAGTTTGCAAATATTTTTTCCCAATCTGTGGGTTGTCTATTTACTCTGTTGATTGTTTCTTTTTCTGTGCAGAAGCTTTTGTTAGTCTAACTAAGTCCCTTTGTCTATTTTTGTTTTTGTTTTGCTTCCTTTTGAGGACTTAGTCATACATTCTTGGCCTAGGCCAATGTCCAGAAGAGTTTGTCTTAGATTTTCTTACGGAATTTTTGCAGTTCAAGGTCTTACATTTAAGTCTTTATTCTGTCATCAGTTAATTTTTGTATATGGTGAGAGATATGGGTTTAGTTTTATTCTTCTGCATATAGCTGTCCAATTTTCCCAGCACCATTAATAGGGTGCCCATTTTCCAATTTATGTTTTTGTATGCTTTGTCAAAGATCAGCTGGTTGTAGGTATGTGGCCTTATTTCTGGTTCTCTATTCTGTTCCGTTGATCTATGTGTGTATTTTTTTTTTTTTAATGCACCATAGTTTATTTAACCAGGCACTAACATAGAACATTTAAGGTATTTCCAGTTTTTCACTATACGAGATAATGACAAGATTATAATTTTCTGCTTAAGTCATTATCCTAATTTAGGATTACTTCCATGAGATAAATAACAAGATAAATTCTTAGAAATATAGTATTTGGATTAAAGGATGTTAATAATTTTACACTGTTTATACGATTGCCAAATTCCTCCTCAAAATGATTTTACCAATATGTAGATTCCCCAACCTTGGAGACTATTATTTAAAAATATATATACCATTTGGTAAGTAAGAAAATAGCTTTTTAATTTATATAAATTTTTGTAACTACTAGTGAGACTGAACTTTGAAAAAGAACAAATTGTTTGATATGCTACATAAGTTATGCTCTTAGCTATCTATTTGGTACTTGGTAATTTTCTTTTTTCTTTTTTTTAAATATTTTTAATTTTAATTTTTTAAAAAAATTACTTATTATACTTTAAGTTCTGGGGTACATGTACAGAACATGCAAGTTTGTTACATAGGATGGAATCTCACCTTGTTGCCCAGGCTGGAGTGCAATGATGTGATCTCGGCTTATTGCAACCTCCACCTCCCGGGTTCAAGTGATTCTCCTGTGTCAGCTGCCCAAGTAGCTGGGATTACAGGCATGCGCCACCACACCCAGCTAATTTTTTGGTATCTTTAATGGAGACAGGGCTTCACCATGTTGGCCAGGCTAGTCTTGAACTCCTAACCTCCTGCTCTGCTTGCCTTGGCCTCCAAAAGTGCTAGGATTACAGGCCTGAGCCACCATGCCTGGCCTGTATGTCTGTTTTATGCTAGTACCATGCTGCTTTGGTTACTATAGCTTTATAGTACAATTTTTTTTTTTTTTGAGCTTCAACATTTCTTTCCTTTATTTAAATAAAATTTAAAGTCACAGCCAAGCATGTAAAGAAAAAAGTACTGTCGTCCTGAACTCATTTTTTAGGAAGGGCAACACAGGAGAAGCAAAATAAACTCTGGAATTGATTAGGTTTAAGATGAGTGCATTTTTTAAGTGTTAGGCTAAGTATAAGGTTTGCTAACCTTGATGGCACACACACAAACATCTCTAGATGGAGAAGTAGGAGAAGATGCTATTACTTCAGGCAAAAGTAAGAGTTACTGAACAGGAAGGCAAAGTATCAGGGAAGGTTACTCAGCTTTCCCCAAAGATTTAAAAAAGGGGGCAGGTGCAGAATGTTGTTCTCTTCCATCCCAGAATCTGAAAAGCAACTGCGTACGTTCCACATTTTATAACGAGGAAGATGGCAGCAAAAAGAATGGCTTGCCCAGTCATGGTCAGCAAACCCACCAGGACCAGGGCTGAGAGTTCCCACTGCTTCTAGTTCTGAGGTCTTCTTAAGAGGTTGTTGCTTGTAAAATGGCAAAGTTATGGTTTTATCGAACAGTTGAAAGAGATGCTGTTTCAGAAAGATGATAAACTCATTTGCTTTCCTAAAATGACAGTTATATTAGACTTAAGTAACTTAACACTCTTTAAAATCTTATTTTTTTTGAGTTCTCTTTCCAATTTTTTTCTCTTTGAAACAGGATCTCGTTCTGTCACCCAGGCTGGTGTGCAGTGGCACAATCTTGGCTCACTGCAACCTCTACCTCCCAGGTTTAAGTGATTCTCCTGCCTCAGCCTCCCAAGTAGCTGGGATTACAGGCGCCTGCCACCACACCGGGCTAATTTTTTTCTTTTTAGTAGAGACGGTTTGCCATGTTGGCCAGGATGGTCTCAAACTCCTGACCTCAAGTGATCCACCCACCTTGGCCTCCCCAAGGTGCTGGGATTACAAGCATGAGCCACTGAGCCCAGCCTCCTTCCAATGTTTTATGTGGTATTTGGTCAGAGATGCCAGCTTGGGAAAACTAAGTTTTTTAAATACTCATGGCAGGGAAACCAAATCATTTATCTCAATGAATAATAATCTATACTTCTGCAATACTCTGTCAGTCCTCTCCTCTCCCTGCTAATGGATACATGATGGGTACACTGGAAGCCTCAAAGTCAGGCTTTACCCCATACCTTCTAAAGCATTCATCCAGGGTGGTACTCAGGCATACAGACTTTTTTTAAAACTGCCCTTTGAGTCTGACCAACAGACAGGGTAGAGCTCTCTCAAGGTTCTCAGCTTTATCATTTTTGTTTCCTCTCAATACCTTTATGCAAACGAAATTGAACCACCATTAAGTAATCCTTGTTAAGGGGAAAAGAGGCAAGAAGACCTCTAAATATAGTCAAGGTTAACCCTAGTTCTCAACTTCCTAATCTGTGACAAGAGGGGCAGGAATCTCTACCCTAAATTCAGAGGGGTGCTGAGGTATCAATGCTAAAGAGTCATTTCCTATTCCTATCATTGAGAAGGAATGAGACAGCTGCAGAGAGCTTCACCAGAACCTCACTGATGGAGAGGTAGTAATAGGAAAAAAACAACTTGACAGGAGGAAAACAAATACTAAATGGGCAGATGAGACACAGCATCAGTCTTGCCACAAACAGGGAAAAACACATAACAAAGGGACATGGTGTATTAAACATTCCCCCCACCTGCTGGATCCATTTACCTTGCAAGAAAGACTGCATCTTAGCAGCGGGAAACAAGGAGGAATGGAGGAAGTGCTCACCTCCCTCCCCTATGTCTCATCTGTGTGCTCTCTTCCTTGGTAGCACCGATCTCCCCAGGTGCTGGGTGAGAAATAGGACAAGGGAAAGAGGTCTGCGCATGCTCACCTGCCCTCTGGCCATGCCTGGAGAGCTCAGCAAACACCCCTGTCACGTTCCAGTCACAGATACTGGAGGATGAGGGGCCAGTGCTGGGCCTGTTCCTGCTCTAAGGCCACATCCTAGAAAAGCAGGGTCTGTCTGGGGAGAAAACATGGCCACCAAATGCTGACTAGTGACTGGATTTTCCAGCTGACATTCAGCCTCCTGTCAGCCTCCCTCATCCTCAACTGATGGCTAAGGCTGTGTTCCTTCAAGGCCTTGTCCTAACTGGCAATAAAAGGAGAAGGGGTGAAAACCAGCATTCATGAAGAGGTGCTGCCCTGGCAGCCCCATCCTTGTCTGTCCGACTCCTGCAGCCACAGATGAGGAGCACACACGGGGCACACAAACGCTCCATGAGGCCCTTAACCAGCTCTGCTTCCCTACTCTGCACTTTTGCTGACAGCCACCAAGAAATTCAATCTGCAAATAACTTTGCATCCAGTTTATCCTGTGTGGGTCATTAACAGTGTTCCCATGAGAGACGCTCTCGGCATTTATGAATGGGTCAGGAAATGGTGAGAGGATGGACTTCTTTTCCAGGAACTGGGGTCAAAGGCCAGCTTTTCTACCAGCCTCACTCCCAGAAACCCTAAATACTGTCTCAGCGCTCACTCTGCAGAGTTCAGCTTTGAAACATGCAATCGCAGCTCTTCAGTGACATTCAACTAAAAGGCAACATCTTAATTAGGCAGATATGCTCCAGGGACAAGAGCAAAACAGAAGGCGTGAACGAGAGAGGAAAAGATAGAAAAGACACGTAGCGGGAAGAGGCAAACAGGCAAGGCAGGCCAGACAGAGGCAGCAAACATGGGCCAACACGCAAAACACCAAGTGGTCCATCAGCTCAGGCCAGCACTCCACCTTCTCAATTCATTTCAGAAAAATTAGCCTGGAGCCAGGGAGGAGTAGGGAGCATAGTGATTGGTAACGAAAATAGAAGGAGTTGGGTAAGAAAACAAGAGACAGAAGAGATGTCATTCTAATGGGCATGAAGTGACCAGGGTGATGATCAGCAAGACAGGAGGCACCAGGGACCCTGTGAGGCACCAACTACGTAGCCAAGTGTATCTAATGGAGAATCCAGGGCCTGACCACCGACACCTGCTTTGACCTTCACCTGCCCTACGTCTGCAGCAGCACCTCTGGCTCAGACAATGAGCAATAGAGAGTATATCCTAGTTCGTCTATTTCTTCAGGGGTGAGTTCTGCAAATAAGTTCACCTTGGGGTTTAGGGCACTGGGCAGGACTCCCGCCTCTAGATAGCTGATAAGTCCCCTCAGGGCCTGCAGGAAACGGTCAGCCAGCATATCCGGAGACCAGTCAGCCTCCTCCTGGGCCAAGTGGAGGATGATGTTGGTGAGCTGGCTGGCAGTGAGGTGGCCCAGAGCCGGGGTGGACTTGCATATGGCCTTGAGGATCTTGAGGCACAGGGATCGGCAGCCCGAGTCGGCCTGGTCCAAAGCCCGCAGGCGTGCCGTCTCAGCAGGACGCAGGCTCAGCCGCCACAGGTTGTCATACTGGGCTAGCCGGTGTGGTTTGGCCACCAAGACTGTGTCACCAAGGGTCACTGATGGCAGGAAGTCAATGACGAGATGTTTGTCATGCTCGTACTGCACCTCCAGTGTCAGGGCTTCTGGGGGCGGAGCCGGTCGGATCACATAGTCCAAGAGGGACCCTATGGCTGGCCAATTGATGGAGCCAGCCACTACCTTCTCAAATGTATCTGCAACTGTCTTTGGGGAGAGGTAACCCCCTACTACACAGCGGTCCCAGTAACTGCTCCCACGAGGAAAGTACTCTGGATTCTCACAACGAACCAGGAAAAAGCCAGGGACATTCATGATGATGTCTTCACTGGGAATACATGACCACAGGTTCTGCTCTAGCACAAGGGGCACAATTAGTTGGATGTGGTCAGCTGTCACCACCTGCAGGTCATCATAGAGGCTGCCACTCAAGTACATGTCCCGAAGCGGCATGTCAGGCAACTTGGCCCGCAGGAAGCTCCGGAGCTCCGCACATATGTCCACAGCAGCTTGCTTGGCCCGAGCCTGCTCTCCAGCAGGGATGGCTGCCCGGTTCCGGTAGTAAGTAAGAAGTTTCTCCTGTGTCAAAGGCTGAAGAGTCTGTGGAAAGGGTCTGTAGGGACCAGCTCAGGCCTGTCTTCATGTCCCTGTTCAGCAGTCGGGGGGAGCCCATCCAGTTTGGTTCCTCCCAGCTCCTTTTCCCTGAATGGCTCAGGCGGGTGGGGCTGGTAGGGGCACTGATCGCCCGATCATACATCCGCTTAACTGCCAGCGTGGCGATGCCCAGCATGGCCGCTCCACCCACCCCCAGCACCAGCTGGGCATTGGAGAGCACAAAGTCAATGGCCGTGCCAATGCCATTGTCATCCTTCTTGCCTTTGCGCTCACTAGCGCCTGCCATTGCTCATCTGAAGCTTCTTAATGCATCTGTGAGGTGGGGATGGGAGAGACCAGGAGTGTCTACAGAAGGCAGCTTTGTCCTCTTTCCTTTGGAGGATCCTAAATTATCCTTCCCAATTTGCCGTGAAGAAAGACCAGGCCCTTCTCCAGCTGCCTCTCCCGGGCCTCAGGGTCCTCTAGCTTCTGCTGTTTTCGGAATTCACGGCGGATGGAGGCAAAGTAGAAGTCTCGATCAGTGTAGCGAAGCTGTCGGCCCTGGCGCAACAGAGCCCGATAGAGACTCAGCACCGCCTCTCGGCTCCACGGGGCCATGGGAGACTAGCAGGGGCTGGGTGTCACACCGCAGGCCGCACGCGCTACCACTCCGCAGGACTCGCCTCTGGCCCGGTACCTCTCTCGGGGTCACCCATCAGTATGGCCCCTTCACTTCCGGCTATAGTACAATTTGAAATGAAATAATTTGATACTTCCAACTTTATTCCGTTTTCTTAAGATTGCTCTTGCTATTTGGGCCCTTTTTTGGTTCTATATGAATTTTAGGATTTTTTTTCTTAATTCTGGGGAAAATGATGTTGGTAATTTCATAAAGATTACACTGAATCTATAGATTGCCTTGGGCTATATCATCATTTTAATAATATTGATTCTTCCAATTTAGGAGCTTGGGATGTTCTTCCATTTGTTTGTGTCATCTGTGATTTCTTTCATCAGTGTTTTGTAGTTTTCCTTATAGAGACTGTTTACCTCCTTCATTCAGTATATTCCTAAGTTTTGTTTTTTGTTTTTTGTTTTTTGGTAGCTACTGTAAATGAGATTGCCTTCTTGATTTGGTCCTTGGCTAGATTATTATTGTTATATGAAAATGCTACTGATTTCTCTATATTAATTTTGTATCTTAAAATTTTCTGAATTCATTTGTCAAATATGAGAGTCTTTTGGTGGAGTGTTTTAGGTTTTCTAGATATAAGATAACATCATTAGCAAAAAAGGATAATTTGATGTTCTCTTTTCCAACTTGGATGCTGGTCTTGTTTTTGTTTTTGTTTTTTCTCATGCCTGATTGCTCTGACAGGGACACCTGGTACTATTTTTTAAATAGGTGGTGAAACTGGACATCTTTTTCACATTCCAGTACTTAGAGGGAATGCTTTCAACTCTTTCCTATTAAATCTCATGGCTGTGGGTTTTTTTGTTGTTGTTCATTTTGGTTTGTTTGTTTGTTGTTTGTTTTGAGACAGAGTCTCACTCTGTCACCCAGGCTGGAATGCAGTGGTGCTATCTTGGCTCACTGCAACCTCTGCCTCCCGGGTTCAAGTGATTATTCTGCCTCAGCCTCCCAAGTAGCTGGGACTACAGGTGTGCACCACTACGCCCAACTAATTTTTTTACTAGTAGTAACAGTATTAATAGTAGCATTTGTAAAGATGGGGCCTCCCTGTGTTGCCCAGGTTGGTCCCAAACTCCTGGGCTCAAGCAATCCTNTTTAAGTAGAGACGGGGTTTCACCATGTTGGCCAGGCTGGTCTTGAACTCCTGACCTCAGGTGATCCATCCTCCTTGGCCTCCCAAAGTGCTAGGATTACAGGTATGAGCAACTGTACCTGGCCTTGGCTGTGGGTTTGTCATATATGACCTTTATTATGTTGAGATACATTCCTTCTATTCCTAGATTGTTTAGGATTTTTATGTTAAAGTGATGCTACATTTTATCAAATGCCTTTTATGTGTCTGTTGAGATGATCATATGGTTTTTGTCTTTAATTTTTTTTATGTGGTATGTCATGTTTATTGATTTGCTTATATTGAACCATCCTTACATTCCTGGGATAAATCCCACTTGATCCTGTTCTGTTATCTTTTTGATGTGCTGTGGGGATTTGATTTGCTAGTATTTTGTTGAGGATTTTTGCATCTGTGTTTATTAGGGATATTGGTCTATAGTTTTTGTTGTGTCCTTGTCTGATTTTGGTATCAGGGAGACACTGGCTTCATAGAATGAGTTAGGGAGAATTCTCTCCTCCTTGATGTTTTGGAATGGTTTGAAGAGGACTGGTGTTAGCTTTTCTTTGAATTTTGGTAGAATTCAACTGTGAATCCATCTGGTCTTGAGTTATGTTTTATTGGAATATTTTTTGTTACTGCTTTTATCTCACTACTTATTATTGGTCTGTTCAGTCTGTTTTCTTGCTGGTTCAATATTGGGAGGTGGTATGTTTCCAATAATTTATCAGTTTACTCTAGGTCTTCTAGTTTGTGAGCATATGGTTTTTTATAATAATCTCTGATCTTTGCATTTCTCAGGTATCAGGGTTTTCTTAATCCACTCTTCGTCCTTTTCCATTTATCACTGTATTTATTTGGCTCTTCTGTCTTATTGTTTAGTATAGCTAGTGGTTTATCAATTTTATTTATCTTTTAAAAAAAACCAGCTTTTTATTTTATTGATTCTTTGTATTTTTTTTTTCTGGTCTTTGGATTTTTTTCTTTGTATCTTTTTCCCTTGAAGTGTGATGTTAGATTGTTAATTTGGGATCTTTTCACTGTTTTCATATAGACATTTAATGCTACAAACTCCCTGTTGGCACTGCTTTTGCTGTATGTGTTGTGTTTTCATTATTTAAAAATTTTTTTATTTCCATCTTAATTTCTTCATTGACCCATCAATTGTTCAGAAGCATACTGTTTAATTTTCATGTATTTGTATAGTTTCTGAAGTTTCTCTTGGTATAGATTTCTGGCTTTATTCCACTGTGGTTTGAGAAGATACTATATATGATTTTGATTTTTTAAATTATTATTATTACACTTCAAGTTCTGGGGTACATGTACAGAGCATGCACAGATTTTTCATATAGGTATACACGTGTCATGGTGGTTTGCTGCATCCATCACCCTGTCACATTTCTCCTAATGCCATCCCTCCCTATCCCCCTACCCCCTGCTAACCCTTCCTTAGCTCCCTACCCCCCAACAGGTCCCAGTGTATGATGTTCCCCTTCCTGTGTCCATATGTTCTCATTTTTCAACACCTGCTTATGAGTGAGAACATACAGTATTTGGTTTTCTGCTCTTGTGTTAGTTTGCTGAGAATGATGGTTTCCAGCTTCATCCATGTCCCTACAAAGGACATGAACTCATCCTTTTTTCTGGCAGCATGGTAGTCCATGGTGTAGATGTGTCACATTTTCTTTATGCAGCCTGTCATTGATGGGCATTTGCATTGGTTCCAAGTCTTTGCTATTGTGAACAGTGCTGCAGTAAACATACATGTGCATGTGTCTTTTTAATAGAATGATTTGTAATCCTTTGGGTATATGCACAGTAATGGGATTTCTGGGTCAAATAGTATTTCTATTTCTAGATATTTGAGGAGTTGCCACACTGTCTTCCACAGTGGTTGAACTAATTTACACTCCCACCAACAGTGTAAAAGTATTCCTATTTCTCCACTTCCTCTCCAGCATCTATTGTCTCCTGATTTTTAATGACTGCCATTCTAATTGGCATGACATGGTATCTCTATGTGGTTTTGATTTGCATTTCTTTAATACCAGTGATGATGATTTTTCATATCCTGAATTGATTTACTGATTTATTTGTATTGGTTTTCAGATTTCTCCTTCATCTCATTAAGCGTTAGTATTTTGAATTATTTATCTGGTATTTTGTGGATTTTTTTTTAATTTAAAATTCTTTCTCTTATTTTTAAACCTAATTGTAAGTTTTCAATTGGGGGATTCTTTTTGACTGTAGTATGTCACTGGACAATTGTTGTGGTCCTTTGGAGATGTGATTTTCCCCTGCTTTTTCATGTTTCCTCTCTTCTTCCATTGATGTCTCCACATCTGATCTAGCAGTCACTTGTTCAACTATTTGAAATTGCTTTTGTAGGGGAAAATATTTTCCTGAAGATGTATGGGTGTTTTCAATTAAAATACATTGGCTTCTATTGTGGGCACCTGTGGTAGTGTGATCTTTGTATGAATTCTTCATCAGTATACAAGGTCAATGATACCTGTGATTTCCTTGGTTGCTTGGGGTTCAGTTATCAGTTGGTATTATAGTGAAGTTTAGCTGAGGACTTGGTTGCCATCTGAGCCAGTCTTTGATCCCCAGTGGTGGCAGTATTATAGTAAGTGTGCCTGTGTTTAGGCCCCAAAGCAACTTACCTTTATTCTACTGTTAGTGAGTCCTGGAGGCCTGATCCTTTGGCCTCCAGGTGGCTTGCCGAGAAGCTACTAGTGGGAGTGGTTGGCCAGGTGTTTGGGTCCTCGGGCCCTTGTTCAGCTGGTATGGTGTGGGTGATGGCAGTAGCAATGGTAGAACAACCCTGCTGGATCCCAGGCAGTCCATGTTGGTGTTGCTGGAAGCTGCAGTGGGTTGGGCAGGCTAGTCCTCCGTCTCACATCCACCGTGGCAGTGCAGTCTCTTGTCCTAAGTTTTCTTAGGAGAGCTTGGTCTCTTCTCCGTTCCTTGACTGACTGGCAGCTGTAGCCACCATGCCTATTACTCAGGCTGAAGCTGGGGCAAAGCCCTACATGTTGGGACTGAATCCAGGGAGGGCAGCGCCCCTCTCAGGCAGGCAGCATGGGCACAAAGCAATATGGAGTGTTGTCCACTCACATCTCAGTCTCACAGCAGCCCCATTATAGGGCGTGAGTATTGCTCTAGATATGCATAGGAGAGCCTGGTTTCCCTTTTTCTCCTTGACAGGTTAGCAGCTACAGCTGTGTCAGCCCGATCTTAACCTGAGGGCAGGGTGCTCTCCAGTGTTAACCTCTCAAAATGGCACCTTGGGCCTCACAGAGAGGGTGGGTTCCTCCCAGGCAAGCAGCATGGGCAAGAAGCTGTGGGGAGTGTGGTCTGCTCATGTCTGTCTCAACAAAAGCCTGCAGCAGGTCAGTAGGGACCCTCCCAGGGGTGCATTGGAGCACACAGCCGCCCTTCTCCCTCCTTGGAGCAGCACAGCAGCAGCAGGCTTGTCTCTAGATCTCCAGTATCTAGATTCTCAAAGTGGCATCTAGCTAAGGTTGCTCTAGGATCAGATGCCTGTGGGATTCTGCGTTTCCTTTTTGGAGTAATGTCTCTGTACAGTCTTTAGACAGCTTATTATGTCAGGCCCAAGGCCCTAGTGGGTGGAGGGTTTCTCTCATCACTGAGATGCTATAAACCTGTTTCAGAGTGTAGAGCCCTGGAGGTATCTCCATATCTCTCTTATTGTTTCCCCACATCCAGGAGCCCCTCCTGGCTCTCAGTCAGTTCCTGGCTGGGTAAGCTCCCTCTCCTTATCTACTTCTGGTACTTCCCATCTCTTCTCTGATGAATCCTGGCATTCTTTCCTACATTATCTGTTCAAAATATGAGTGTCTACTTACTATTCTGGTTCCTCTTTATGGAGAAGGCACATACTACCTGTATCTAGTCAGCTGTCTATGCTTCACATATTTTTAAAG